GCACCGCCATTCACATTCTCGACTCGGCAAGCTTGAGGCTGCAAGTCTCTTCCCTCTGGGTGCGCAAACGGCCCGCATACATCCTCGCAGACAAATCGTCCTGAGATCTTCTCTCACCACTCACACCACCACCATCCGCAAGCTAAGACTACGCACACAGAAGCTCTCATCAAACGTGGACCAGTCTACGGATAGATGGTCAGCCTTCTCACAGTCTCGTCCAAGATCTTCAGACCAAAAGCAAGTCGCAGTGACAGCATCTTAGCGGTGCTGCGTCCAGTCGCTCCTACTCGATCCTCAGCTCGGCCATTGTCCTACGCTTCGCAGCTCACTGCCAGCACCCTTCCCATTCCAATCAGCCGAGCTTCGCAGTTGCGAGCCAATCCTTTCATCGCGCATCTTCGCACCCTGTGCACCTCACCGAAGCTCAGCATGGCGTCCATCACCCCTCGCAAAGCGGATCAGCCCGCTCTGTTCATCGATGGGGAATGGCGCTTCAGCTCTGATGGCCGAAGCAGACCCAGCATCAATCCGTGGGATGGGTCCATCATCACCCACGTGAGCGAAGCATCCCCATCCGACGCATCCCATGCCATTTCTTCCTCCTCGCGCTTCTTCAAGACGTCTTCCTTTCCCCATCTCACTTTCGGAGAGCGTGCAGGTCTGCTGAGCAAGATCGCTGATCTGCTCCAGAGGGACAAAAAGAGACTGTCGGAGATCGAAACGAAGGATACGGGAAAGACTTTGGTGGAGAGCGAGACGGATGTAGATGATGTGACCAACGTTTTTAGGTTTTACGCGGAGGAAGCTCCAAAGTTGGACATTCCTAGACGCATAACGGGGCATGATGTACCCGACAGCGTGGAGAGCATCATTGTAAAGGATCCTGTTGGGGTATGCGTGCTCATTGCACCATGGAACTGTGAGTGTCAGGAAGGCGCCAGCGCGCTTCTGCCCTTCGAGCCAGGCTTTTTCAAGGCGACCCCACTCACACAGACAGGCATCTTGCGGCTACTCAGACCCGCTCCTTCAAATTTGTTGGAAGTTGGCCCCAGCCCTAGCAGCGGGCAATGCCTGCATCATCAAACCTTCGGAGGTCACACCCCTTGTGACGATCGAGCTGGTCAAGCTGATGCTCGAGGCTGGCGTACCTCCAAAAGCTTTGCAATTGCTCACCGCCGGCGGCGAAAGTGTGGGTCCCACGCTTACGGAATCGGAGGATGTGGATCTGGTCAGCTTTACTGGTGGACTCAACACTGGCAGGTCGATACTCAAGAGTGCTGCTGGAACGGTCAAACGCACATGCGTAGAGCTTGGAGGCAAGAGTGAGTGCAAAAAAAGACCCCGAAATGGAAACTTGTTTTGGTCTCATAAAGAGCCAGCGTACTCGTTGAGCAAAGTGCGCTGACACTGTCTCGTTCCCATTCAATCAGATCCACAAGTCGTCTTTGCAGATACACCGCTAGACAGGGCCATTGATACTGTCCTCACTTCCGTCTTTCTCCATTCTGGCCAAGTGTGCACTTCAGCCACGAGACTGATCGTCGAAGAGTCTATAGCCGACGCCGTCGTCTCAGGTGTGGTGGAGCGCGCATCCCAAATCCGTCTAGGCAATGGATTGGATCCATCATCCGAGACGGGTCCTTTGGTCAGTGCAGCGCATCTAGCAAAGATGGATCAATATATTGCCATGGGCAAAAAGGACGGAGCTATTCTGAGATGCGGAGGAAGCAAACCTGATAGGAACGATGAGAGGTACAGT